GACTCGGCACTGAGTGACGACGTCGGCCCGACTGTGCAGCAGGACGGCAAGCACTCGTTGCTCCAGTTTGCCCTGCTTCATTTCCGAGATGGCGATAAGTGAGTGTTTGATGTCCCGCGGAATTTTTAGTTTCTTTTTTTCTTTTCTCTCACGCCATTCATCAGCATCATCGTCCCTATGCTGTCGAGACTTTTTTTTTTTTTTGGTTTCTGGGTCACACTCCAGATGGATTTTTCTCTTGCAAAAAATAAAAATAAAAGAGGAAGGACGGCTTCTTTCATGCAACAATCGCTGGGATTTTTAAAACAACTTGAAGTAATCAGAGCAAGCGAGAATAATGGAACGATTCAGTATATTTAAATCACAATTTGCTCAATGGAGTTCAAAAAAGTTTAATAAAAATACCTATTACAATCTGATATTGATACTTGATCGAGGTTCGCTTAACAATGCTCAAAGTAAATAATATTCTCTTCATCGAAAAATTCGCACAAAATTTTTCAAATTCCAGCGTACGCATATCAAGGTTTTTAATGAAAGTAAAATACGAAAAAAGAGCTGTTGTGTGTGTTAAATTGACGTACAGTATGAACATGGCTGATCAGCTTTACGCTTTCTTCTCCACCGAAACGGATTTTGCATCAACATTTTCCTGTGCAAAATCTAGAGCAGTTGTGTGTGTGTGTGCATCTATAATTGACGGAACATTTTTCGGGTGTGTGAATTTGAAGCTAAAATTCGCACACGAAGAAATCCGAGCAAATTCAGGTGTTCGTTCGGATTCCTATATGCGAAGATAATTTGTGCCCAATCCATTAAAATTGTCATCGGCTGATATCGATGTACAGTACCGTATTTTATTCACGTCCGAATTTCAAAAATCAATGCATGAATGCACTTGTATTTGTAATGAAAGTAAAATACGAAAAAAGAACTGTTATGTGAAAGAAATACCCCGCAAAGCTTTCTCAACACGACATTTTCCGAATGGAAAAACAATCAGACCTATTTTTAAAATTGTTTAAACCATTTTAAAGGGTATTTTGCGGAAGTAGTTCGTGAGATTTTCCTGCGCAATAAAGGTTCTTGAAAACCCCGAACACCGATAAAATTATTTAGCACCTTTCTGCGTACATGAATATATTGACTGTTTGTCCTATCACGAAATGTTCCCTCATACTTATATAATCCTTACTGCGGAATGCATCGAAGTGACTAATTGTGCCGTAAATTTGTGTACCAAGACATCTAGTCGTGGTAACCAACTGGCAAAAACGATTCCCTGTTTTTTTTTATGCTATATTTTTGTGAAAATGTCTCTGCAATTAAGAAATGAAACCCCAGAACAAGAAAATGTACGATTCAGCCGCAGAATTATGTTGATAGATAGAATATTTTTTTGGAAAAGTTGAAGAGAAGCTTGTAACGCGATCTTGGAATTAGTGGTGCAGTACGCAGCAGGTTTTCAGTTTCAATCATTGAGTTCCCGCTTTTAAAATACTGTATTACTCCTTGCTGCGAAGAAGTTTTTAGTGCAACCTTAATTTGGAAAAACTTATAAAGCCGAGCGTAATTGTCGTGGCAGAAAGAAAGCTACACCGATTCAAGTAGGAAATAAGCTCTGGAAATTCCAATTAAAGCTTTTTAATTCGAAGCGTTGCAAAAAATAATAATGTAAAGTGATACTTTCTCACGTAGCTTTGATGAATTCTATCTGGATTGCGTTTTATTTCAGGATGGACATTGTGATTTCGCCGGACGGGTCGATTCAGGGTTCGTTGAAGACGAAGGAAATGAAAAGCAAACTGTGATACTTTCTCACGTAGCTTTGATGAATTCTATCTGGATTGCGTTTTATTTCAGGATGGACATTGTGATTTCGCCGGACGGGTCGATTCAGGGTTCGTTGAAGACGAAGGAAATGAAAAGCAAACGGAAGGGCAAGAAATCCAAAGACGGCATGACGGAATGGACCTGGAGGGAAATGGTGAGTCCCGATTTCTCTTCCCTTAATACGGACCAAAATTAGTCGAGTACAGGACTCGAAGGGGGACACGGAATTTATGTTCTCTCTAGAAACGAGGCCGTTGATCCAGTTGAATGAGAAGATGAATCTGTTTTCCTCTCGTGAAAAATCTCTTCTGGCATTAATGCGGAACCGGCGTGATCCGTACGATTAGGGCTAGTTCGTCTCGTTTTTTCCTTCTTTTTTTGTTTCACTAAAGAGGGATGCTTCATAAGTTTTTTTTTCCTTTAGTGAATTAATTTTGTGGTACACCAATGTCTGCATCAGTCAGAATTCTCTGAACCACGGTGGGATGAATAACAAGACTTCAGCCATTTGCTGAGGATGATCTTTAATTGTTGACATAATTTCGACCTCTGCTTCTCCGCCCTTCGAAGTTTTATGGCAATCTTTTGATTGCTGAAATCAGAACATTCATTTCTTCTGAACATTTTACCTACTGTGATATGATCTCTGAGAAGATTTTTTTTCAATTCTTCGTTTTATTATTTTTTAATTTGGTTCTATCGAGATTTGAGACTGCGTGAAAAATTCATGAAGCAAGCTCACAAGTTTGGAAGGTGAACCTATGCTAACCCAAAGGTATGGGATGCATTCATTGACTAACGTAGCCGTCTTCTCTCGATGTCAATCGGGGTAAGCTGACTTCAGAAGGAGTGGTGATAAATTATTCAAATTGTATTATTCTGTAAAAGTTTCTTCTGTCAATCACGCATTCAAAGGAAAAAAAATTCCATACAATACTCCAAGAAAAAAAAACTTATGAAACCAACCCTCGTACGTTGTTGCCCTCACCCGGATACGAAGAATGTCGCACGGCTCCCAGTACCACCAGTTTTTCACGCTCGACTGCGACCTGTCACTCGGTTGCTTAACAAATGACCTCCCCGATGACATTTACAGAAATGCTTTACATCATTTCGGTGACTGTTGTATTTTTTTTAATGTTCCGTTAGCAACGACAAAAAAACCGCAATTAACTTCAACACCACGTCGATTTCGCTGGGCTCCCGAAAGAATCGAGCGCGTTCTCGTAATCGATTGTGTAACGTTTGAGGTCGTGCTTCGCGGGCCATGAACCAATAATATTCTGTATTTATTCTTCTCTGGTAAAAATTCTTCAAACAGAGAATTCAATCGTCTTTTTGCCTCTTGGGAATGGTATTGAGTGGTGTATGAGTAAGGACAAATCAAGTAGCCAGAACAAAAACCAAGTAAAACATAAAAAAAAAAGCGCGCTTTGATTCTTGATCTTCGAGGTACTGTACCGAGATAAATTAACCTGAAGCGGCTTTCGTGCTTCTTCGTCGTTGGAACCCAGCTGCTGAGAAATCAGGAGTTTGCCAAAGTCATCTCACCGTAACGATTTTAACGGTTCCATTTTTCCTTGAGTGCTGGCTGCAAATTGAACGGATTTTTTTTTTGTATGGCAAAAAGCGCTCGTGTAAAACGTAGACCAGGCTCGATTAAAAGAGGGCAACACGGCCAGCCCTGTAGACAAGTAGTGCACTACCTTAAATTCTTTTAAGGACCGCTTCAACACCAGGACACCAGAACGTTTATGGTGATTCTGATGATGCCGGTACTTTATTTGGTTAGGATTTGACCGTAATAGTGGGTGGATTTTACTGAATCGGTAGGCTATTTTTCCCCGATTTAAAATCATACTCATCTCTGGAAAGAATTTTAAATCCGGGGTTCCCGCAGAAACATGTTTGCTTGTCCAAAAATGTTCTCTGAACATTGACCACCTTTCCGTGTACTATTTTTGTGAAAAACTCGCCTTCGCTTGATTTGAACTCAAGTAAAAAGGCTGTTCCCTGTAATTTTGGTACAGTACTCGACGTCGTGATTGTGCATTCCAGAATTTTTTTTTTTTACGCACGAAGGTCAACATAATGATTGAAAAAGAAAATTAAACGAGTCCGCGAATTAATGTTGAGAGACCTTGACTTTTCTATGAAGTTCTGTTCTGTTGATAATGTTTCCCAGGAATTTTCTTTTCTTTCCGTTGGACGGATCTCCCTGTTCAAGTTTTTTCTGTTGCAACTTCACGCTTTCCGGTAGATGACGCATCTTGGAACTCCTCGAGTGCCCGCATTTCTACTTCTATACTGCAGTAAATTATGAACTACTTGCTGTATTGGACCGTTAAAAATCGCATGGTATGTTTTTACTCTGATGATTATACCGACCTGGTTTTCCAATTTCATCACGTGCAGTGTTGGATTTTCAGCCCGATAATTGATATTTTAATCATTCTGGTTGTCTGATCTGAAAAAGCTGTAAAATTGAGAGTCAATTTTCCTTTGAATTCAGCAGAGCCATCAGTAAATGCACAGCTTTGAATTCTAGTATTGTTTCTCTTTGGCGGTCTATTTTTTAATCGTATTGAAATTAAAATGATAACTGCAGACGATTTTTAGTCCTACATTTTTATCTAATTCAGCCATTTTTTACAACGTATCTGACAAGACTTGTAATTAAAATATTTCGATTCATGCATGTGATACCGTATTAAGTTTTTCCTAGAAATTATTTGTCAAAATGTGCGAAACTGCACTTTTTTTCGTTTTGGGCAACTTCAGGAAATCGAGATTTTTTTTTTATCAATCCTCGGTACTCGCGCTGATTTCGTGAATTCCCTTTTAATGAGACTACAAACGCTTAGAAGAACAGCTGCCAGTTTGTTGGCTGTACGACAGTCCGGAAGCAATCATGGTGATGCCCGAAGGGCAGAGTCACGGCCTGGCCATGCTTCTTCCTGTCGTCTTCTCTCCAGTTCATAGTGGAAACCATGATTAATGACCAAATCGGAGAACCTTCTCTTCTTTCTGAACATTTTCCGACGGGCGAGCCCGGGTTCAATTTCCTCTGTTTGAATGGCAGGTTCAGACAACAGATATTCGCTGTCTACATGCTGAATACGTCGGAGGGCTGCTCGATTTAGTTTTGGATTGCCCCAGCACTGGCAGGATGTGACAGTGCTCACATGCCTTCTCATGGGTATACCGAATGGCTGAATGCAACAATTCGCAATGTTTCCCCTCTTTTTTTTTAGAATTTCACCAATATTTGCAAAGATGTCCTCGACTTGAGTTTGGAAAACTAGTTCTTTTTCACTGTAAAATTTATTTTCAGGTTTGTTTTGAATCCAATGCCCATTTTTTGAGTCTATGTTCAAGGCTCAGCAATTGCTACGCATCATGAGAAATTAAGCGTACCCACCGAAAATTGCCCCAAGTAACAGTTTTACTCATACCACTGGCTGAAAAGCAATGCTTGAAAATCGTTGAGCTGTTCGTCCATAAAATGATTAATACTTTATGGGGCCATATACAGTACAGTATTGTATTTAGATTATTTTTTTATTGGGTACGGTTTGGTTTTCCTTTTTTCGTTTCATCGTTCTTGAAAAATAAACTTTAACGCAATAACGCGAAATTCTCGAGCTAAAAAAAGTAATTGACAATTAGATAATAATCCAAGCATCAAGTATGACCCAATAAATTACAGTGGCGTAACGATGCCATTCCCGTTTTTTCCAAGTTCCGCTCAGAAGCCATTTTTTGAACTTCGAATCAAAGAACGTAATTGAAAATCGGAGGAAAAATCACATTCACTTGAAGCAACTGAAGAAGAAAGGCAAGATTATGTGAATTTAGATTCGGCATGTCGTATTTTCAATACAGCATCACATGAATTGTTCGGGTTAACGATCTCCGCTCTGATTTATGTATGCTTTTTCCAAGTCTATCGTCTTCGCCAATTATTCTTGGGCGAACGGTTTTTAAATTTCGGGAACTCATCGTTTCCAATCGTAAATTATAATTTGCACAACGAAACACTGAAAGAAGAGATATTACATTCAAACCTCTCTTAATTCGAACTTCAAGGGACCAGCATAAAAAATTCAACTTTGGGAGGGTTCGAGTTAGAGAAACAAATATTCATGTTGGAGGGGGGGGGGGGAGAAGAATACAGGATTTTTTTATTGTTGATATTCTGGGGCTTACATTGCTCCATATATGGGTTGATAGCTAGCTTAACTTGGAGGCAAGGCGTTCATTTGCACAAATAGTCTTTCAAAATCCTTTCGAAATGCATCAAGTTGCAGTACATTTATATTGCTTTTATCTTCCCTGTGTCATTAGAATATTTGCGAGAAGGCTTCCAGCAAATTCGAGTTATGGGGAAAGCCTTGAGAGAGATCTTGTTTTCCATTGTTTCTGAGGGACTCCGATATAGGGACTTCGAAAAAAATTGACATGGGAGGGCATTTGACTTTGGGAGGTTGGTTGCATCAGAAAGCCCACTATAGGATGTCGTTCATTGATGCATCAACATTGAAGATTCCTTTTTAAATACTACCTTCACCTGCGAGTGGCAATCAGCCCCCAACGTGCACCTCGCCCTCAGCTCGTTCTGACAAGGTTCCTGCATGAAGGAATCTCTTTTCACAAGCGACCTTCGCATTTCATTTTTTTTTTTTTTTGCTTTATTACTTCGACTTGCGTGGGCCGATGCAATTCGTGAGTCAATGTCTACTAAAGGGAATCTCGGGTTTTCGACGCCGGATCGATGGGTTTCTCAGGTTTTTATCCTGTTGTACCCGGTGTGGCGTGCTTGCGTGATCGGGCTCCAGACTGACATCTTTGTAGAGTAAATGCCGAGTTTTCTGACTTGACCTGTGAGCGTCGCTGTCCAGGAATCATTCTTTGGATGCATTACTTTCGAAAGCACACTAAATATTGTGAGACGATGCGCATGAAGAGAAGTCTCAAGAGAGCGGATGTATAGAAAATTATGAAATCACGAACGATTAAGTTCCGCGAATGCAATTGCGTGGAAGGGAAAGGATACAAGAAGAGGGGAATGATACTGTGAACTAGTTTGGTCTAGGTCTCAATATGTTCGAAATTGTTGGGAAATGTGACGTTGGATTAGATTTGCAAAAGGTT